ATATACTCTTTGCAGATTACAAAAGTAATCTGAAAATACCATCACCTTAAAGATAGTTAATTGTTTCCTACCAGATGTCTACCAAGTTTGCTAATCCTTGTGCTTTAATTTTAAATTGTTTTTTGAAAGGTTTCCTTCAAGCAGGATGGTACCTTTCCACTTTCCTCCATCAAAATGTGCACTTTGGAACCCAACACCAACTGGAGATTTCATCTACTTACATCTCAGTTACTACAGGTATAACATGTTTCTTTTTTTCAAATCAAACCAGTATAAACAAGAGTAATACAAAGATGTGTAAGGCAAAGTTGATTACTATGACCAATTATTAATTTTTCTTTACTTTTCTTTTAGAAGCTCCCCTCAGGCAAAAGCTTCCTTCTGCTGCTTCTTAACATCTGTTCCTTGTACTTTTGAGAGATAATCTTAATTTCCCAGTTTTTTGCAAATTCTGCATATTGTAGGAATTCAAAAGAGGTGAAATATAATAAAAACTGAAAGTGTCTTTTATCATGTCAGCATGGTGTCTTTGTAGAACATTGAGAAGCTTGAACCGATTTTTGAGTGGATCAGATTAGAAGGAGTATAAAACCTTGTGGTTACCTCCAGGACCTTGACAGAAAGACAAGAAAGAAGTTTAGGTGTAAAGTAATAGAAACTAGATCTATTGAGGTTTTGTACCTAAGAGTTACTTGTTAAAAGTAGTATTCTAAGAAAGATAGATTGTGGTGGGGAGAGCCTTGAGTCAGCCTAGCTTCAAGATGCTTTTCTGTAATCACACAGGTGTATACTGTAATGGTTTAAGGTTCTGTAACTGGGCTGGGCGTGGTGGCTCACACCTGTAACCCCAGCACTTTGGGAGGTTGAGGCAGGAGGATTGCTTGAAGTCAGGAGTTTGAAAGCAGCCTGGGCAACAAAGTGAGACTTTGTCTCAATAAAAAATTAAAATAAAAAGTAAAAAAAACAAAATAAGAAAAAAAAAGTGCAATAACTGGAGGAAGACTGCCTAGGAAATCAAATCCTGATTCTACTGCTTATTTATGCGACCTCAGTAAAGTAGCCAAGGATCAGGTTCCTTTTTTATAAAATGACTATAATAATACCAGTTTCACAGTTCTCTTCTAGGGGTTAAATAAGACTCTGTAGAGCAATTGTCACAGTGCCTGGAATAGAAAGTATTTCATAAATGGCATCTATTATATATTATAAGGACTTAGAGCAATGTAGCAGTATTCAGATCAAGAGGAAAGAATGAAACAAGGTGTTTTGAAGAAATAGTTTGTAGTATTTGATGATTGACTGACTAGAGGAATGAAGGAAAGATACAAGTCAGAAAGTATTCAGGTTCAACACTGGTTGGCAGAGAAGGGTGGTACTATTGAAAAATAGGGAGAGTCTTATGGAAGTTCAACTAAATAATGGTTAGTCCTGTTTTTATTTTTTTTATTGTTATCTTTCTGTACATTTTGAGTAGTTTCCTTTGTTTTTCAAGTCTACTTATTTTCTCTTTAGCTGTGCTTAGCTGCCATCTAACCTGTTCATTTAGGTTTGGTTGGGTTTTTTTGTTTTTGTTTTTGTTTTTGCTTTTGAGATGGAGTTTTGCTCTTGTTGTCCAGGCTGGAGTGCAATGGCGTGATGTAGGCTCACTGCAACCTCCACCTCCCAGGTACAAGCAATTCTCCTGTCTCAGCCTCCCAAGTAGCTTGAATTACAGGCATGTGCCACCATGCCTGGCTAATTTTTTTATATTTAGTAGAGATGGGGTTTCACCATGTTAGTCAGGCTGGTCACGAACTCCTGACCTCAGGTGATACCTTCCTCGGCCTCCCAAAGTGCTGGGGTTACAGGCGTGTGCCACTGCGCCCGGCCCTCATTTAGGTTTTTTAAATGTGGCGGTGTACCATATATATGAAAGGATACTTATAGTATATATGCATAGTTAATAGAATAAAAATACACATTTGTGTACCTATCCCCAGTTAATTATATAACTCATTGAATTTTTGCAAATTATATTTTTTATTTCTTTAAGTTCCATATGGCTTTTTTATTCAAATTTGCCTGGTCTGTTTTCATAGTATCTTATTCCTGGCTCATATTTTGGTTTTCCTTTTACATTTTTTAAAACATTTAAATCATACTATATTTTGTATTCAATACAGTAGTTTCCCCCCTTTATACATGGTTTCACTTTCCGTGGTTTCAGTTACCCACAGTATAGTACAATAAGGTATTTTGAGAGACAGACTATATTCATACAACTTTTATTAGAGTATACTGTTAAAATTATTCTATTGTATTATTATTGTTGTTAATCACTTACTGTGCCTAATTTATAATTTAAACTTTATCATAGATATGTATGTATAGGAAAAAACATAGTATATATAGGATTTGTTACTATCTGCGGTTTCAGACATCCACTTGGGGGTCTGGAACATGTCTCCCAGAGATAAGGGGGCACCACTGTAATGCTAATTATATCTGAAGCCCATCCACAGTATGTAAAGAAATAGATGTGATTGTTTTAACTTACAAAAACAGGAGACCTACCTGCTGAGGTTCATCAAGTTAACAAAATGCCTGGAGAACAACTGTAGTCTCAGTGTCTGTTTATTGCCATTCTAGTTTCCAGGTGACCCTCCCTATCCCCTGCCTTTGACCCTGGGATTTCCTGACAATGATCTTTCTGTACATTTTTAAAAATGTGTGTTATAATTTAGACAGCATTTTATGGCAGGAGGTTTTTTTAAGATATGAGATCTACCATGTTCATAAAAGACTTGTTGTTTTTCAGAAATCCAAAGCTTGTAGTGACTAAAAAGACCATCCGACTTGCTTATCGTCATGCTAAGCAGAATAAAAAAAATTCATCGTGCTTTTTACTTGGTTCTCTGACAGTAGACGAAGGTAATACACTTTTAAAAATTGACCAGTGCTCACATCTGTAATCCCTGCACGTTGGGAGGCTGGAGTGGGAGGATTGCTTGAACCTGGGAGTTTAAGACCAGCTTGCATAACATAGTGAGACCCCATCAGTACAAGAAAACCTTTTTAAAAATTACTTGTATGACTGCAATAGAATTTATTGATTCGGTCAACTATTGTATTTGCTTTGTGCTAATTTTCTTTGCTGTGTACCAAGGATATGAAGATGAGTAAAACCATCAATTACAGACTTCACTATCTGGTCAGATGGATGAATGTATATAAGCAAGTAAGAGTTTAGTATACTCTTGTAAAAGTTTAGTTTACTGTAAGATTTTAGTTTAGTATTTAAGAGTTTAGTGTATTATTGATATGAACAAAGTGCTTTGCTATAATGTAGTCTTGCTGGGTTGATTTTATGTTTTTAATCAGTATACTATATAATAGCTGTTATTTTTGTTCTACAGATGAAGAAGGTGTGACATTGACAGTAGATCGCTTTGATCCTGGTCGAGAAGTACCTGAATGTCTAGAAATAACCCCTACTGCTTCTCTTCCTGGGGACTTTTTGATTCCATGCAAAGTTCATGTTCAAGAACTTTGTTCAAGAGAAATGATAGTTCACAGTGTAGATGACTTCAGTTCAGCTTTAAAGGTGCGATTCATTGACAACTTGATAGTTAATTCAACACAAGAATCAAACTATGTTTAGTATGCTGTATTTTAGTAAAACCATATTTGAGAATTATTCACAATAATTTGATTGAATTATTGTGAACCTAAAATCCAACTAAATGTGTTTCTGAGGGCAAAAATTCTAGGTAAGGCTTTCAGAAGAAGCAGTGTAACCAAGATAAGAAAGTTCAAGATGTACTTAGGGTAGTGTTCGGGGTATACATTTTTGCTGAATTTGTGGGCAGTCGGACTGGAGTATTAATTTGGTCAGATTATAGAGAGGCTTGCCTGGGCATGGTGGCTTGTGTCTGTAATCCCAGCACTTTGGAAGGCTGAGGCAGGTGGATTGCTTGAGCCCGACACTCCAGCCTTGGTGGGAGCAAGATCCTTTCTCAAGAAAAAAGAGCCTTGTCTGCCAGCCTTAGGAATTTGAACTTTGTCATACGGGCCATGTAGTAATTGAAGGTTCTTGAGAAAAGGAAACAGTGTCAAATCAGAAATAAGTTAATCTGGTAGGGTAGGCTGACTGAAGTTATAGAGAGTAGCCATTGTGGTAGTTGGGCTGGTGTGTATTACAGAGGGATGTATTAACCTATAGTACAATGGTAGCAGTGAAACTAGGAAGGACACAGTGGGCATGGGCAAATACAGAGGGAGAACTAACTTGACAGTTTGTGGTAGCAAGAAAGGAATCAAAGAGGAATGGACTTTAGATTCTCTGAGACTCAATCAGAATTATTTTATGAGGCCAGGCACGGTGGCTCACGCCTATAATCCCAGCACTTTGGGAGGCTGAGGCGGGCTAATCAAGAGGAGTTCAAGACCAACCTGGCCAACATGATAAAACCCCATCTCTACTAAAAATACAAAAAATTAGCTGGGTGTGGTGGCACATACCTGTAATCCCAGCTACTTGGGAGGCTGAGGCAGGAGAATCGCTTGAACTGGGAGGTGGAGTTTGTGGTGAGCTGAGATTGCGCCACTGCACTCCAGCCTGGGCAAAAAAACGGGACTCCTCAAAAAAAAAAAATAAGACTTATTTTATGTCCATTTTTTCCCATGTAGTAAGTATTTATTGGGGGTGACTTCCCAATATGACTGAAGTGCTGCTAGGATATTTGCATTGGAAATGTGTAGTGGAGCTTGGGACAGTGAATCTTACTTGCTTTGATATAATTATTCACATAATCTTTTGGTCACATGGAAGAAATGAGAACTGAAATGTAAGTCAGAACTCATTTAATTTTATTAGTGCAAGATATTATATATGTATATGTATCAGTATAAAATAAACTTTGCACGTTTCGAAGTTGTAAAATAATTATTTAATATTGATTTCTCAGGCTCTACAGTGCCATATATGTAGCAAAGATTCCTTGGACTGTGGTAAACTGCTTTCCCTAAGAGCTCATATCACTTCCAGGGAGACTTTGGACAGTGTGGAATTTGACTTGCATTGGGCAGCAGTAACTCTAGCAAATAACTTCAAATGCACACCTGTGAAGCCCATCCCCATTATTCCAACAGCTCTGGCAAGAAACTTGAGCAGTAATCTGAATATTTCTCAAGTTCAAGGGACTTATAAATATGGGTAAGTAAAAGATACATCAATCTAAACATTAGTTGCATTAGTATATTTTCAGAATGTCCGTGTAATATGAAAGAATTGTGCAGTCAGTTTACATGCCAGAGATATGGTGGCTTGGTTAATAACAAGGGAAAGTAAAAAATGAAGTGGTTTATTTTTGTTGAATGTAAAGTTTTCTTTAAGTTGTGCCACCACCTACAAAAAATTGGTGGTAGGGCCCGGCGCGGTGGCTCACACCTGTACTTGGGGAGGCCCAGGTGGGCGGATCACCTGAGGTCAGGAGTTCAAGATCAGTCTGGCCAACATGGCGGAACCCTGTCTGTACTAAAAATATAAAAATTAACTGAGCGTGGTGGTGCATGCCTGTAGTCCCAGCTACTCGGGAGGTTGAGGAGGGAGGATCACTTGAACCTGAGAGGTGGAGGTTGCAGTAAGCTGAGATCGCACCACTGCACTCCAGCCTGGGCAGCGGAGACTCCATTTCAAACAAAAAAGACAAAACTGAGTGGCCATAAAGTATAATGTCTGGACAACTCAGTTCTTTTTTTGAGGTGGTGTCTTGTTCTGTCACCCAGACTGGCGTGCAGTGGTGGGATCTTGGCTCACTTCCACCTCTACCTCCCTGGTTCAAGCAATCCTCCCACCTCAGCCTCCCGAGTAGCTGTGATTACAGGTGCACGACACTATACCAGCTAATTTTTGTATTTTTAGTAGAAATAAGGTTTCACCATGTTGGCCAGGCTGGACTTGAACTCCAGACCTCAGGTGATCCTCCTGCCTCAGCCTCCCAAAATGCTGAGATTACAGGGGTGAGCCACCATGCTCAGTCCCGGAGACCTCAGTTCTAAAAAAAAAAAAAAGTTGGTGTTAAATATATTAAAATTGGAGGCCAAGACGGGCAGATCACGAGGTCAGTAGTTCGAGACTAGCCTGACCAACATGGTGAAACGCCATCTCTACTAAAAATACCAAAAAAAAAAAAGAAAAAAAAATTAACTGGGTGTGGTGGCGCATGCCTGTGTAATCCCAGCTACTCAGGAGACTGAGACAGGAGAATTGCTTGAACCTGGAAGGCGGAGGTTGCAGTGAGCTGAGATCACACCATTGCACTCCAGTGTGGGCGGCAGAGCGAGACTCTATTTCAAAAAAAAAGAACAAACAAAAAAATTGGTTGATAATTTATTATTTGAAAATGTAAGGAGAAATTATGTTCTATATTACATATTCTGTGTTATTGTTCATATTTTATTTAGGTTTTAGGCCATTTTTTTTCTTAACTATAACCTGACTAATTATGAACCCAAGGGAGGCTAGATAATTTATTTATAGTATGCAGTTTTAACTGTGAATAATGAGCATTGCAGATAGAGAAAGGAGATAATTAAATAAAAAGTTACAGTACTCTTGCTTACCAAATTGCCAACTACTTGAGGGTGGAGTTTCCTTACAGAGCTGGAGTAGAATCCTCTCCAGCTTCCTATCTCCACTCTTAATTTCTTAGGAAATATAAGCCAAAATGCATGCTTTCTAATCCTCAGCAGGGCTACTTCCCTGAATCTTCATCTATTTTCTTTATCTATTATCTACAAAACTAGGTTAGACAATATAAGCACTCTCTACTTTAAAGTTTGACCAGAGACTGCTCCAAATATTACACTTCTGGCTTCCTTTCCCAGTGACTCCACCCTAGTTCCTGTTAGGCCTTTCAATCTAAAAATGTTTGCCAAAGTACACTCAATTCCAAGTCTTATTCTCTAAAAATACCTTTTCAGAACCAGACTCTGACCAGAGCTGTGCTTTCTGGTGGCCCAAAGGAAAAATTGTTGGTATATTCCAAAATCATGGAGTGGTCAAAAGTGAGCAAAACTTGTTTGAGTTAAATGAAACATTTAATTCTCTTGAATTAATAAAGTACTTCTCAAGTGGAGCATGGGATTTTTATTTAAATTAACAAAAAAATTAATTTGTTTTCCTTAGTACCCATGCCCATTTACTTGAATAGCATGAATTTACCTTTCTTGGAATTATCCATCTGTGACTGCTGGGCATGCTGGTAATAACCAGAATGTTCAGTATTCTGTCAATCACCTATTCCCCTTGCCCCTTCCTATCTAGAATCGTCTATGGTGACATTTGCCATGCCAGGTGCATTGGCACACACCTGTAATCCTAGCTGCTTGGGAGACTGAAGCAGGAGGATGGCTTGAGCTTAGGGTTTCAAGGCTGCTGTAAGCTACAATAGTGCCTGTGAAATAGCCACTGCTCTCCAGCTAGGACAATATAGTGAGACCCCATCATTAAAAAAAAAAAAATTGACATTTGCCCTTTATATATTCTAATATTTACTGGGGCCCATTATGGAATAGGTATTATGTTAGACACTGGAAACAAACAGATTAAAAACTATACTTACTATCCATTGAATATGTTGACATCTAAACATGATGTGTTATAATGGAGGTTTATATACAGTGCTGGGAAAGTAGGGGGAGGGATGTCCAAATTTCCTGGGGAAATCATAGAAAGCTTGAACTAATTTTTTTTTTTTTTTTTTTTTTGAGACGGAGTCTCGCTCTGTCACCAGACTGGAGTGCAGTGGCGTGATTTCGGCTCACTGCAACCTCCGCCTCCCGGGTTCAATCGATTCTCTTGCCTCAGCCTCCCAAGTAGCTGGGATTATAGGCGCCCGCCACCACACCCGGCTAATTTTTGTATTTTTAGTAGAGATGGGGTTTCACCATCTTGGCCAGACTTGTCTTGAACTCCTGACCTCGTGATCCACCTGCCTCAGCCTTCCAAAGTGCTGGGATTACAGACGTGAGCCACCGTGTCCGGCCAGCCTGAACTAATTCTTTTAAGGAGTAGAAATTTATCAGATGAGCAAGACATGAGGGAGAACTTTCAAAGCAGCTGTGTCATTGTTGATATGTAAATCTTAGGCCAACTCAGGCTTAATATTCTTGTCACAAGACCTGACAAATGTATTGTCTTTGTGTTTTAGTGTTATTAGAGCAATAAAATATATCATCAGTGGAAATACCAAGGCTTTATATCAATAATAGCATTTTGTTTTCTGTTTTTGAGACAAAGTCTCACTGTGTCGCCCAGGCTGAAATGCAGTGGTGCGATCTCAGCTCACTGCAACCTCCACTTCCTGGGTTCAAGTGATTCATTCTCCTGCCTCAGCCTCCCCAAGTAGCTGGGATTACAGGCGTGTGCCACAATGACCAGCTAATTTTTTTTTGTATTTTCAGTAGAGATGGGGGTTTTGCCATGTTGGCCATGCTGGTCTTGAACTCCTGACCTCAAGTAATCTGCCCGCCTCGGCCTCCCAAAGTGCTGGGATTACAGGCATGAGCCACCACTTCTGGCCCACTAATGGCATTGTTTTCGAAGAAAGATATAACAATAAAATAAACAATTCTATTTTGGTTTTTTTGCATTCTTATAACTTACTGTCAATAATAAATAAAATATAAATATAGTATAATGTCCTTTTAGGGAAGAGTGAGCTTTTGAGTTTTATCATGATGGTTCCAAAGTCCTTTGACAGTGGTTGGAGGAATGTGGCACATGGAGGGTTGATTATACCTCTCCTAATTCAGCCTCCTTCACTTAGAAGTCACATCTGTTGCAGTCTTGTCAAATCACTTGGATGCATGAACATTTTCCAGTAATAGGGAATTCAGTTCTTCCAAGGAAACCTATTTGGTTCTGAAATTGTCTGCCTTAATGTTAACACTCTTGATTAAAGTAAATTGTAAGTAAAGTTATAGAGCAAAACTTTTTTAAAAGTTGTATAATCTTCAATGTCTTTTAATTGATAGATGGAAGTTTTAAGGTATTAAATCTCTTTAATCTCTTCCTCTTACCAGAGTCTTTTTACTGAGTCAGCACAAAGTTTCTGTTGTGTTTCTTTGGTGTGTGCAAGACAATGTTCATTTGAATTATCTCCACTTTCTAAAGTATGCTTCAGCATCTAGATTATGTCTTTTAGGTAAAAAGTACATAATTTCAGTTATTTTCACATGAATGTCTTCTGTTTAGATATCTTACCATGGATGAAACACGCAAATTGTTACTTTTGTTGGAATCTGATCCCAAGGTTTATTCTCTACCATTAGTGGGAATGTAAGTATTACATTATTTATGAAAACCTTATCAGCCAAATGTTCAAATGTATATGATAAGCATGTGACTCAGTTGTACTATAACTATTTAGATCATTTTATAAAGCCACAAAGATAAGTGGTTGTCAGGTTTTCTTATTTTACTAGTAGAATCAGCTAAAATAAGATTTTGCCCAATCTTTTTTTTTTTGAGATGGAGTCTCACTGTGTGCCCAGACTGGAGTGCAGCGGAGAGATCTTGGCACACTGCAGTCTCCATCCCCCAGGTTCAAGTGATTCTCATGCCTCACCCTCCCAAGTAGCTGGGATTACAGGCATGCATCACTGTGCCTGGCTAATTTTTGTTTTTTTAGTAGAGACGGGGTTTTACCATGTTGGCCAGGCTGGTCTCGAACCCCTGGCCTCAAGTGATTTACCCGCCTCAGCCTCCCAAAGTGCTTGGATTACAGGCGTGAACTATCGTGCTTGGCCAGATTTTGCCCAACCGTAGGAGGAACTCTAATATATAAAACAGATAAAAGTTTAATTCTATGGCCGGGCACAGTGGCTCATGCCTATAATCCCAGCACTTTTGGAGGCCAAGGGGGGCGGATCACCTGAGGTCAGGAGTTCAAGGCCAGCCTGGATAACATGGTGAAACCCCGTTTCTACTAAAAATACAAAAAATTAGCCGGGCATGGTGGTGTGTGCCTGTAATGCTAGCTACTCGGGAGGCTGAGGCAGGAGAATCACTTGAACCCGGGAGGTGGAGGTTGCAATGAGCTGAGATTGTGCCATTGCACTCCAGCTTGGGCAACAAGAGTGAAACTGCATCTCAAAAAATATAAAAAATAAAAGCTGAATTCTCCTAGTTGAAGGTGAAGCCTTAGAGCCCTATTTCTTCAATATTCTCTCACTACCACTCATCCTTAAGTCACCCTAAAGAACTCACGGCTCATAATACCATTTAAAATCTACTGTCAGGCAATCTTGCAGAAACTCCTTTAGTGTTAACGGTCTTCTCTTTAGTAGTTAATGATATTTATGTGTTTAATTTATATATATATGTGAGTGTGTGTATATATATATAGACCTGTGTGTGTGTATATATATATATACACAGGCTGGAGTGCAGTGGCACAATCATGACTCATTGCAGCCTCAATCTCTGGGGTTCAGGTGATCCTCCTACTTCAGCCTCCTGAATAGCTAGGACCACAGGCACCAGCTACCACGTCTGGCTGGGTTTTGTATACTTTGTAGAGGCGGACTTTCACCACGTTACCCAGGCTGGTCTGGAACTCCTGGGCTCAAGCCATCTGAGTTGATATCTAGACAGAATATTTAGAAATTTATATTCTTTCAGTATCAAGTACTTACTATATACAGTGTTATGCTTGATAATGTGTTGAGGTTTAAAGCTTCTTAATTTAAAATCAAAGTGAGGTGATAAAACATTCAAATATTCATACACAGAAAAATAAAGAATATGATTTACTATAAAATGACCAGTATAGAAAGTGCACACTTAGTATTTGTAAGAAAGATATGATAGGGAGCATTTTCCTAGAGAAGACAAACTTGAACTAGACTTTTAATTGTTTGGATAGTAGAAGGGAAGATTGATGGGGAAGGGAACCCATGTGAGAGAATGGCACATGCAAAGTGAATGAGAATGCACAGATGTTCTCTGGATCATGAAATCTACTTATAGTTTGCTACAGTCCTAGTATAGGGAATGGATTGTTGATGCTTAAGTAAATATTAAGAGCCTTCTCTGTTTCTGATTACCTGTATATGTTACAGCATTTAATCCTCAGCAACTCTGTGAAGTAGTTTTTTTTTTTTTTTTTTTTTGAGACAAAGTTTCACTCTTGTTGCCCAGACTAGAGTGCAATGGCAGGATCTCGGCTCATTGCAACCTATACCTCCTGGGTTCAAGCGATTCTCCTACCTCAGCCTCCCGAGTAGGTGGGATTACAGGCATGTACCACCACGCCTGACTAATTTTGTATTTTTATTAGAGATGGGGTTTCTCCATCTTGGCCAGGCCAGTCTTGAACTCCTGACCTCAGGTGATCCCCCTGCCTCGGCCTCCCAAAGTGCTAGGATTACAGGCATGAGCCACCGCGCCCGGCCGTGAAGTAGTTTTAGGCTACAAACTAGTCTGTACTACTTCAGCCCATTCTTTCCAGTCCAAGCTAATTCATTCTAGTATACTGCTTTCATGTCTGTTAACCATTTTCTTTCCCACATCTCAGGTAGAAGAGGACAGAGATACATGTGCTTGCTCTCTGTCCTTCTCTCTCTCTCAATATATATCTATATGTCTGTCTATATACATCGATATAGTTATATAGATACAGATGTCTATATATTCTTCCTCTTAATTATCGGCACGTTTTTAGATTTCTTATTAGTAAGGCTCTTTAATGTATGGCAGATAAAAGCCATACATCTACCTTATTATCTTAGGAAGAATGTAAAGTATGCTATATATGTAAGTGACTATGATTTTTAATTTCTAGTTTTTTCTTTTAGTTGGCTGTCTGGAATTATACATATCTATAGTCCTCAGGTATGGGCTTGCTGTTTGCGATACATATTCAATTCTTCTGTTCAAGAAAGGCAAGTGATATTTTATTCTGTAGTACTTTATTTTGATCCTTTCCCCCATTCATAGTTTATGGTCCCATTTAAAATTCACGTAATGCCTTAACCTTTTACAATACTTATAAATAAACATGTACATTAAGAAAAAACAAACCTTATATTAAATGAGAATAAAACCAGATTAAAAAAAGATGAGGTTGCAGTATACCTGGAAATACGAAGGAATTCACTTGCCTAACCACAAAACACAAACCTTTTAGGGGTGGAAAAAAACCATAGAGATTGTCTACTGTAGCATCCTATTTTGTAATTAAGGAAGTTAACTTTCAGTGAAATGACTGCAAATGAGTTTGAATTTGTTACCTTACAGGTGTTTTATTAAGTTACACAGTGTTACTACTAATACACAAAGAAATACTTGAGACAAGATTTTTAATTTCTTCCTGGAACTGAAGCCTAAACATTGGAATTAATAGTTAGGGAAACTTTACTTTTAGCCTCAACTCTTAATAGATAAAGAAGGTGAGAGACAAATGTCAGTATTTGTCTGTCACCTTCTTTATCTATTAAATGAGGAGGTCTGTTTTTATCTACCTTAGGTGGCTGTAAAGGACTTAAAAAAACTATATTGAAAAGGCAATACAAACACATAGTAATAAATTGACGTACGTAAATATCTACAATAGAATAGACCTCTCTTCCTCCCCATTTCCCTAGACCCCCTTCTCAGAGACAATCACTGTTAAGTGATATCTTGTGCTTCCTTCCTGAAATAGTCAATATTTCAATATTCATCATAGACAAGTATCACCTTTTCCTGGCCTGTAAAAATTAAACCATAGCATCCTTTCTTTTCTTTATGTTGCTTTTTTCTGTATAAATTATACCTTGGAGATCACTACATCTTGACATATACATATTTAATATACATAATTTACAGCTAAAGAGTATATAGTACATACTGTATTTTAAAAACAACTGGCCCTTTTGTCTTGCAGATAGTGGTTGACTGAACATTTTATGCATGCATCTTTGTGTGCATATGCTAGTATATTTGTAGGATAAATTTCTAAAAGTGTTTTTTTCTAGGCCAAAGAGTGTGTAATTTAAAATTTGGTAGATATTGCCAAATTGCCCTTCAAAAAGACTGTACCAGATTATAATTTTTCCAGCAGTACACGAGAGTGCCTTTTTCTCTCTACCTGTGCTAACACTGTGAAAGAAATATTTATTTATTTATTTATTTATTTATTGAGCACCTATTATATCTATTATGTTTACGATATTGGGGATGAGAGCAAACAAAATAAAGGTCCCCAGACCAGGCATGGTGTCTCATGTCTGTAAGCCCAGCACTTTGGGACTTTGGGAGGCTGAGACAGGAGGATCGCTTGAGGCCAGGAGTTCCGGACCAGCCTCGGTACCATAGCAAGACTGTCTCTACCAAAAAAAAAGAAAAAAAGTTAGCTGGGTGTAATGACACATGCCTGTAGTCCCAGCAGGAGGCTGATATGGGAAGATTGCTTGAGCCCAGGAGTTCAGGCTACAGTGAGCCATGGTTGTGCCACTGTACTCCAGCCTGAACAATACAGACTCTATCTTAAAAAAATAAAATAGGCCGGGCATGGTGGCTCACACCTGTAATCCCAACACTTTGGGAGGCCAAGACGGGTGAATCACTTGAGGACAGGAATTAGAGACCAGCTTGGCCAACATGGTGAAAACCCGTCTCTACTAAAAATGCAAAAATTAGCCTGGTGTGGTACAGCATGCATGTAATCCCAGCTACTTGGGAGGTTGAGGCAGGAGAATCACTTGAACCTAGGAGGCAGAGGTTACAGTGAGCTGAGATTGCACCACTACACTCCAGCCTGGGTGACCAAAAAAATAAATAAATGAATAAATGAATAAATATAAAATAAAATAGTCCTGCGAGACAGGCAATAAACAGAATAAGTAAAATAAATAGTATGTTAAAAGACGATGAGTACTGTGGAGAAAAATAAAGCCTGAGAGGAGGATGTTGTGCGTCTGAATGATAGTGGCAGGTAAAGAGTTGCCATTTATTTATTTATTTTTTAATTTTTAAAATTTGTATATTTATTTATTTTATTTTATTTATTTTTTTTGAGATGGAGTCTCGCTCTGTCGGCCAGGCTGGAGTGCAAAGGCTCAATCTCAGCTCACAGAAACCTCCACCTCCCGGGTTCAAGCAATTCTCCTGCCTCAGCCTCCTGAGTAGCTGGGATTACAGGCATGTGCCACCACGCCCTTCTAATTTTGTATTTTTTCAGTAGAGACGGGGGTTTCTCCATATTGGTCAGGCTGGTCTCGAACTCCTGACCTCAGGTGATCCGCCTGCCTCGGCCTCTCAAAGTGCTGGGATTACAGGTGTGAGCCACCGCGCCCGGCCAAGAGTTGCAATTTAAATGGGTGGTCAGGGAGGCCAACTTGAGGTGAGGGAGTAAGCCTTGTGGCTGTCTGGGGCACTGTCCTAGGCAAAGGATGTGTTAAGTGTAAGGGCTCTGGGTGAAAGATCACGTTACATCTTCAAGGAACAGCAAAGAGGCCACTGTAGCTAGAGAGGAGTGAAGGAAGGGGATAGTAGCTGGAGATGAGCTCAGAGAGGTAAGTAGAGGGCTGTCGTTAGACTTTTGACCTCTGCTAACCTGATAGATGAAAAATAATCTTTTCCAGTACCTCATGTTCCAGGAACTGCCTAGTCATGTCTTTGGCCATTTTTCTCTTAGATTGTGCATCTTTTCATATTGCTTGTGCTAGCAAGCTCTCTCTCTATATATAATATAAAATACATAGAGAAATATATATTTATAATATATAGCAACAGTTCCCCCCTAGACTGTCATTTAACAGTATTTTTCCCAAACAGACTTACCGTTTTTTAGTCATATTTATTAATCTGTTTTCTATCATGCTTAGAAAAGATTCACCCACTCCAGGTATATTTACTGAAGTAAAAAAAAATCATTCGTATTTTCTTCAGATGCTTTTGGAGTTCTACTTTTAACATTTTATTTTAACTTTTCAAGATAATTAGTTATATTTAGATAGCAGAAATTAAATGTTAGTTTTAGGTCCTTTGCTATGATTTAGTACAATTAAGTTTTATTATCAATTACTGATCATGCTTTAAGTTCATATTGACAGTAAATCCTCAATAAAATTAATTTTGAATTGCTCTCTTATTCTTTCTTTCTTTTTTTTTTTTTAGTCAGAGTTTCACTCTGTCGCCCAGGCTGGAGTGCAATGGCGTGATCTTGGCTTACTGAAACCTCTGCCTCCTGGGTTCAAGCAGTTCTCCCTGCCTCAACCTCCCAAGTAGCTAGGATTACAGGCGCCCACCATCACGCCTGGCTAATTTTTGTGTTTTTAGTAGAGATGGAGTTTTGCCATGTTGGTCAGGCTGGTCTCAAACTCCTGACCTCAGGTGATCCACCTACCTTGGCCTCCCAAAGTGTTGGGATTACAGGTGTGAGCCACCTATTTTAAATAGCCACTGGCCTACTTTCTCTTTTTATTTTTATTTTTTATTGAGACAGAGTCTCGCTGTGTCGCCAGGCTGGAGTGCAGTGGCGTAATCTCGGCTCACTGCAACCTCCGCCTCCCAGGTTCAAGTGATTCTCCTGCCTCAGCCTCCCAAGTAGCTAGGACTACAGGCATGTGCCACCACACCCAGCTAATTTTTGTATTTTTAGTAGAGATGGGGTTTCACCATGTTAGCCAGGATGGTCTCCATCTCTTGACTTTGTGATCCGCCTGCTTCAGCCTCCCAAAGTGCTGGGATTACAGGCATGAGCCACCATACCCAGCCTTTTTTTTTTTTTGAGACGGAGTCTCGCTCTGTCGCCCAGGCTGGAGTGCAATGGCGCGATCTTAGCTCCCTCTAAACTCCACCTCCCAGGTTCACACCGTTCTCCTGCCTCAGCCTCCCGAGTAAAAGAATTTTTTTTTTTTTTTGTAGAGAGGAGGGGTCTTGCTATGTTGACCAGGCTGGTCTCAAACTCCTGGCCTCAAGCGATCCTCCCACCTTTTGCCTTCCTAAGTGGTGGGCCCCAGTTTTTGAACAAAAATTGGACCCTTTAGTCATTTTGTTAACTAGATTGGGAGACTCACATGAAGTTATTTGAGTGTAATCATGTTATCCTCATTAAATTTTAATTAAATGGCATTTTTTTGGTGCAGGGTTTTTTCAGAATCTGGAAATTTCATCATAGTTCTCTATTCTGTGACACATAAGGAGCCTGAGTTTTATGAATGCTTCCCTTGTGATGGCAAGATACCTGACTTTCGGTTTCAGTTGCTAACCAGTAAGGAAACATTACATCTTTTCAAAGTAAGTGATTTGATTACCTAGCACATTAGTGACTGTTTAGGTTTTGCTCTTTGGCAGTTTAAACCCAACAGATTTTAGCCTTTAAAATAGTAATCCAAACTATTTTGCTTTGTTTACTTACAAATAATCTTACTAAATGTTAACTTTATTCATTTATGGTTAAATGTTTTAAGTAAATCTTAGATCATATCTTCAACCAAATTACAATAGAGAACCCAGAGGTTCCCCACAGAGTAACTTGCCCATGTTTTTCTAAAATCTTTGAAGAATATTATCAGTTCATATTATCAGTTCATTTTATACTTGTGAAGGTTAACTTTGTGGGATCTCAGTACTTTTCTTTGTCCTGACTGTATATATTTTTTTTTTTTTTTGAGATGGAGTTTCACTCTGTTGCCCAGGCTGGAGTGCAGTGGTGTGATCTCGGCTCACTGCAACCTCCGCCTCCCAGGTTCAAGTAATTCTCCTGCCTCAGCCTCCAGAATAGCTGGGATTACAGGAGCCCACCATCACGCATGGCTAATTTTTTTTTTTCATTAGAGATGGGGTTTCACCATGTTGGCCATTCTGGTCTCGAACTCCTGACCTTAGGTGATCCACCTGCCTCAGCCTCCCAAAGTGCTGGGATTATAGGTGTGAGCCACTGCATCTGACCATGACTTTATTATTTTTAAAATGTGTGGGAATAACAAATGGTTTTTTATACTTAAAGGCCATTATTTATATTATGTATCTAAGGAATCAGAATAGGGTGTTACTATATCATCTAATAAAATACCTAGAAACACAACTAGATGATGATCCTAGGAAAAGTAGATCTTTAGGCCAGGCATGGTGGCTCACACCTCCAATCCCAGCACTTTGGGAGGCCGAGGCGGGTGGATCACCTGAGGTCAGGAGTTTGAGACCAGCCTGGATAACATGGTGAAACCCTGTCTCTACTAAAAATACAAAAATTAGCCGGGTATGGTGCCAGGTGCCTGTAATCCTAGCTACTTGGGAGACTGAGGCAGGGGAATCGCTTGAACCTGGGAGGTGGAGGTTGCAGTGAACTGAGATCGCACTGTTGCACTCTAACCTGGGCAACAAGAGTGAAACTCTGTATCAAAAAAAAAAGAGCAAGTAGATCTTTGAAACTACGTGTCATTATACGAAAATATTCAAAGGCTACTTTTCAATAAAATTATTGGTTATTTTAGGTCTCAGACTAATAAAAGTACATTCTTTATTAGAAAAATACTGAATACTTTTAAATAACCACGTGTGTCCACTCTGATCTTATTTAGTACCTTCTTTGAGATCAGGTATAGGTTATAAATCTATATATTTTATATAAATATATATTTTAATATGATATATACATTATATTATATATGTGTTATATATAAAATATACTTATATAATATATCTATGTACATTTTATATATAGGTTATGTAAGCTATGAAGTTTTTGTATTTTAATTATACATATAATCATTTTAATTGAGATCTAATACTTTATTTCTGTTTTAGAGACATATCATTTATCATTTTATTCTTTAGATGGTATTCTCATTTCATAGTTATATTCACTGAATCTGTGATTATAACACAAGGGATTAACTTTTTCACTTATGTAGCAGGGAACTGGACAGTTTACAAAAGAAGGTTACAGTTACAGAAATCAGAAGTCTGCCACTCCATCATCTAGTGTTTCAGAGCTACTTTTCTTCTAAATAGAATTCTCTGGTGTTCTTATTTAAGTCAGATCTCAAAATATGACCTACTTCATTTCAGAATGTTGAACCTCCTGACAAAAATCCAATCCGTTGTGAACTGAGTGCTGAAAGCCAAAATGTAGAAACAGAGTTTTTCAGTAAGGCTTCCAAGAATTTTTCAATTAAGAGGTAAAAGATCTTTTTATTATTATGTGTATGTTTTTTTGAAAATTACATTTATTAGTTTTTGGCGAGTAATTAAAATAACTGTAAATTATTTCTGATGAAACGATTTTTGAATCTTATGTACCATAAATGTCTTTGCTTTAAATGCATTCCTTCATATTCATTAGGAAGTTGGATAGTAATTTTAATGAAATGGCAACTCTAATATGGTTTTCATTTGGGTTGATGTATTATATAGGAAAAACACAAAAGTATTTGTTAAAAATTATCTTGCTTAGAAAGAATCTGCTTCCTGTTTTGTTTAGTGCTTTCCATTTGTTCTTCCTTCCTTATAAGTTTCTTATTTTAATATTTAAATCAAAGGTGGGGTCTCACTGTATTGGCCAGGTTGGTCTTGAGCTCCTAGCCTCAAGTGATCCTTCTGCCTTGGCCTCCCAAAGTGCTGGGATTACATATGTGAACCATCGTCCCCAGCGCTTCCTTATAGTTTTAAATCTGGACCTATCAGATAAACTACTGTAAAAGTAACTACTAGCTGCTGTGTGATGGCTCACACCTATAATCCCAGCACTTTGGGAGTTCAAGGCGGGCAGATCACTTGAGGTCAGGAGTTTGAGACCAGCCTGGCCAACATGGTGAAACCCCATCTCGACTAAAAATACAAAAATTAGCCAGACACAGTGGAGCGTGCCTGTAATCCCAGCTACTCAGTAGGCTGAGGTGGGAGAATCGCTTGAACACGGGAGGTGGAGGTTACAGTGAGCTGAGATTGCACGACTGCACTTCAGCCTCGGCAACAGAGTGAGACCCTGTCTCAAAAAAAAGTAACTCCTACCTAAAAAAAAAAAAAAAAAAAAAATTGTTTTAAAACTTCTAAAACACACTTGGAGAATATTAATTAAATAAAGTCTTGTGACTTCTTGGGTCAGTATATTCTACCTTTTGTGGTAAAGAAGACATTCCTGGCCGGGCCTGGTGGCTCATGCCTGTAATCCAGCACTTTGGGAGGCAGAGGCAGGCAGATCACCTGAGGTCAGGAGTTCGAGACCAGCCTGGCCAATGTTGTGAAACCCCGTCTCTACTAAAAATACAAAAATTAGCCAGGCCTGGTGGTGCATCACTGTAATCCCAGCTACCCAGGAGGCTGAAGCAAGAGAATCACTTGAACCCAAGAGGCACAGGTTGTAGTGAGGCGAGAGCATGCCACTACACTCCATCCTGGGTGACACAGTGAGACTCCATCTCAAAAAAAAAAAAAAAAAAAGATACTATCTTGTATTAGGGTTCTCCACATTAACAGAAACAACAAGATGTGTGTATGTAGAGATATTTGTTTTAAGGAACTGACTTCTGTATTTGTGAAGGTTTGGCATATCCAAAGTCTACAGGTAGGGGCTAAGCACAGTGGCTCACCCCTTTAATCCCAGTATTTTGGGAGGCTGAGGCGGGAGGATTGCTTGAGCTCAGGAGTTCGAGACCAGCCTGGGCAATGTGGCGAAACCCTGCCTCTACAAAAACAAAAAAGAAGTACAGAAATTAGCTGGGTGTGGTGGCACATGCCTATAGTCCCAGCTACTTGTAGGGCTGAGGTGGGAGGATCATTTGCCCAGGAAGTCAAAGCTTCAGTGAGCCATGTTCGTGGCACTGCACTGCAGCCTGGGTGACAAAATGAGACCCTGTCTCAAAGAAAAAACAAAAACAAACAAAAAATGTCTACAGGTAGGCTGGTAGGGTGGACACCCAGGGAAGAATTGCAGTTTCAGTCTAAAGGCAGTCTGCTGGCAGAGTTCCTTTTCCCTCCAGGAAGTCAGTCTTTGTCTTTTTTTTTTTTTTTTTTTTGAAATAGGGTCTCACTCTGTTACCCAGGCTGGAGTGCAGTGGTGTGATCTCAGCTCACTGCAACCTCCACCTCACAGGTTCAAGGAATTCTCGTGCCTCAGCCTCCCGAGTAGCTGGGATTACAGGTGTGCATCACCACGCCCGGCTAATTTTTGTATTTTTAGTGAAGATGGGTTTTCACCACGTTGGCCAGCCAGGCTGGCCTCAAGCTCCTGACCTCAAATGATCCACCCGCCTTGGACCCCCAAAGTGCTAGGATTACAGGCTTGAGCCACCTCACCCAGCCAGGAACATCTTTGCTGTCTTAAATTGTAAGACCTTATTCAACATTTATTGAATAATTATGGAAGAAGTAGCCAAACTAAGGAGACAATAGCACTTTCTTTAAGATTATTATTAAAAGCTACTTAGGAGGCTGAGGTGGGAGGATCACTTGGGCTCAAGAAGTCAAGGTGGGGAGCCATGATCATGCTACGCCAACTGCTCTCCAGCCTAAGTAATAGAGTGAAACCCTGCCTCAAAAAAAATAACGTTAAAAAACCTTGTTTATTTTCCACTCTGGCCAAAGCTTTAATGAGGAACAGTCATTTTAAATTTTTTTGAAATGTTTGTCTCTCCTAAAATACTGTTGTTATAACTATACAACCTGAAGTTTTTCCTTTTTGCCTTGGGTACTAAAAAAGCTAAGAAATGAGGCCAGGCACAGTGGCTCACGCTTGTAATCCCAGCGCTTTGGGAGGCAGAGTGGGTGGATCACCTGAGGTCAGGAGTTTGAGATCATCCTGACCAATGTGGTGAAACCCCGTGTCTACTAAAAATACAAAAATTAGTTGGGCATACTGGCACGTGCCTGTAGTCCGAGCTACTGGGACGCTGAGGCTCAAGAATCTTTTAACTTTGGAGGCGCAGGTTGCTGTGAGCTGAAGTCATGGCACTGTACTCCAGCCTTAAGTGACAGAGCGAGACGGTATCCACCCCGCCCCCAATCCCCTGCAAAAAAAAAGCTAAGAAATGGATTTTATTGCTCAGTGTCAACAGTTTTGTGTGTGTGCTCATCTTAAGTACAAAACAGATATTAATTCCATGCCACAAGTCAGGTGTACAAAAGAATGTAACTTAAAAAAATTAGTAATTGAAATTAATATCTATTTTAAGCCCCTATTTATTCTACTGGATTATAGACACCAAATTTCACCTAATTCAAGGTTTCTTTATTTCCTTGTCTCTGGGGTTATATGTAATATAGAGGGGACCAGTGGTATGCCAGTACTGGTGATATGGGGTGACATGATTCTCATCCATCTGGCTACAATCTGCTGAGGTGTTTTCATTTACATCTGGTCTTTGTCAGATTTGTGCAAGTTCCTGCTGCAACTTTTGACCCTATTCAGGCCACTGGATTTCTTGTTTCCTGTCCATGCTGCACTGAGCGCTTTGGAATATCATTATATATCTCAAGCTGTCTTGGGTGTCGGAGAAGAGCTTTGTGGGGCTGTCGGAGACACATTTCTGCTTAGACATAATCATGCAGACATTCTGACTGCTTCATTGTAATACCTTGTACAGAAAGAACTCTGTGAAGATCTGCCTCTTCAGACAATCAGAGTTTAGGGCAAAAGGTCTCTTCTGCTGTTTGATTTTCAAATCTGCCTTGGAGTTTCTGTTGTTCTTCCTGCTAGGTAGGATTCAACTTGTATGAAACAGAATGCAGGATGCTTTTTTAGAGATCCCATTAATCCTGAGTGCTGTTAGCTTCATTCTGGCTTTTCTTTTCCCTAATGCATCCTATTGAGACTTTGTCTAGTGTAGGATGTGAAAAAGCCTGATGCATATAGTATTCCAAATCTTTAGTCTTAAACACTAATTTCAGCTTTTAAAACTCGGTACCAGCACTCAGAAACTTTTTGTTTTGCCAGAGCATGCCATCTGTGATACAATGAGTATTCCTGACTCAATGGGAGGGTAGTACATTGATTTCTCAAAGTATTTTCCCATCACAGATATAAGTACATAGGAAAATATAATTCCTTATTTGGTTTTCCTTTGTAATACAGAGGGTTTGTAATATAGTGTGTTTAATACCTTTAATACTAGATTATAAATTTTTTGACAGCAAGTACTATGTCTTGTTTGTTTCTATATTTATCAAAGTGATCAACTAGAGGGTGCCCAGTGACTTGATTTATTGTGACATTAACAATACAAGGTTAAACTTGCCATGATCAGGTAAATAGGGTAGTTTATTAAGACTGGCTGGGCCAGCTTCCCTAGTCAACTAACACTGGCCTGAAATATAAAATAATTTCTGGTTGTCAGATACTAAATTAAATGATCTGAGTACTACTGCAACTTATTAAAGGACTTTATTCAATTTTTAGAAGAAGAAAGAATACTGGATTACCGAAGGCTTTTCTGGTCTCCCCTTCTATTCTTTAGGTCTTCCCAAAAGTTATCTTCTGGGAAAATGCCAATACATGATCACAACTCTGGTGTTGAAGATGAAGATTTTTCTCCAAGACCAATTCCTAGTCCTCATCCAGTGAGTCAGAAGGTATTACTGATTTTAAAATGCATTCACTTTTGTGGTTAGAGACCTAAGTCTCTTCATGGTTAAAACACTAAATAATACTACCTGAAACCTAAGTATCATTCTTAGATATATCTAGCTATTTCTGTCTCTATGGTTATATCTATATAGAGAGATATAAGTATTTCACAGTTATATATAATAATTCGTGTTATATGTAATGATATATACATATGTGTAATATCTATGTAATAAGCATGTATTTCTTCCTAGAGTAAACTGAGACATAGATTAGTTAAGTTGCCTACCCAAAATCACACAACTAGTAAGTAGTAAAGCTGGGATTCTAATTCAGGAGGTTTGGTTTTAGAATCTGGTGCTTTTAATAACCATATAGACTCAACATTGTATACTATCACTAGAGCTTGACATTGGATTTTATCACTATATTCTGAGAAAACATTATACTTGATTTCAGAGGTTAATTGCTAAATTCTTGTCATAATTTTTTGATTGCTACCAACCTGTGGGTTATTTTAGAATTGTTGTTTAATTGGTGTAATTACTTATTTTAGAAGAAAAAGTAATGGGAAGGATTTTTTAAAGTTAATATCAAATTATAACCAAAATCATCACAGCGAGTATTTTGTTTACTCTTAGTTGATATCAATAGAAGGGATAACAGTGAGTGACTTCTTAGTGGAGAAATATTCTGACATATTTATTGGAAGATTTTACTATTTAAGGTACATAAACATTTGCTACTAGATCTGTGAAGACATTCTGCTGTGACAATTTTTTGTAGAGAGGATTTAAAAAGTTGTATAAAACAGTTTCTCATATTATGTTCTGTGATCTTAGCAGTGTTAGTGTTTTAATAAAAAGAGTTCCATTAAGTAAGTTTGGGAAGTGTTTAGTTTTGTTTTTTTAGGGCAAGGACCTTGTTTATTTTGCTTACAATTGTATTCCTAGTGCTTAGCACATAAAACATGCCCAGAAAAAAATTGCTGATGGTCTAAATAAAGAATGAACACTTGTTGCCAGGCGCGGTGGCTCACGCCTGTAATCCCAGCACTTTGGGAGGCCGAGGCAGGCGGATCACAAGGTCAGGAGATCGAGACCACGGTGAAACCCCGTTTCTACTAAAAAAAATACAAAAAATTAGCCGGGCGCGGTGGCGGGCGCTTGTAGTCCCAGCTACTCAGGAGGCTGAGGCAGGAGAATGGCGTGAACCCGGGAGGCGAAGCTTGCAGTGAGCCAATATTGCGCCACTGCACTCCAGCCTGGGCGACAGAGCGAGACTCTGTCTCAAAAAAAAAAAAGAATGAACACTTGTTAATATGTAATTAGATATAATTTGGGAAATACTGGTCTGAGGAAAGTAAAGTATACATTTTCTCCTAAAACCTTTTTTTTCTATTTCTTTCTTATTTGTAGATTTCTAAGATCCAACCATCAGTTCCTGAACTTTCACTTGTGTTGGATGGCAATTTCGTAGAATCAGACCCTCTGCCTACTCCATTGGAAATGGTGAATAATGAAAATCCTCCTTTGATTAACCACTCGGAACACTTGAAGCCTTTGCAACCCCAGCTTTGTGATGAGAAACACAGTCCAGAAGTTGAAGCTGGAAAGCCTTCCTTGAGAGGAATACCAAATCAGTTAAACCAGGATAAACCAGCTCTTTTGAGACAGTGCAAAGTAAGACAGCCACCTGCCTATAAGAAAGGGAACCCCCATAGTAGGAACACTGTTAAACCATCTTCTCATAATGGAACATCTCCTGATATATTTGAAAAGCTCCAAACAGTTTCTGCTGGAAATGTACAAAATGAAGAGTATCCTATAAGACCCTCCAAACTTAATTCTAGGCAGTCTTCTCTTGCCCCGCAGTCCCAACCACCCAATTTTGTTTTTTCACCCCATAATTCAGGAAGACCAATGGAACTTCAGATACCTACTCCCCCACCGCCATCTTACTGTTCCACAAGCGTTTGCAGGTGTTGTCAGCATCATAGTCATATTCAATATAGTCCGCTAAATTCTTGGCAAGGAGCAAACACAGTTGGATCCATTCAAGATGTCCAGTCTGGAGCCCTTCAAAAGCATTCATTATTTCACCCAAGTGAATGTCCAGCTCTGAACTGTAATGCATTCTGTTCTTCAAGTAGTCCTATAACCTTGAGACCTCAGGGAGGTATGGACAGTTGTTCTCCCCACAGCAATATAGAACCATCGCCTGTGGCAAGACTACCTTCACATATGGACTCATGTAACCCACAGCTTTGCACAGTGTGCATGCACACACCCAAGACTGAATCAGATAATGGAATGATGGGACTATCTCCAGATGCATATCGGTTTCTCACAGAACAAGACAGACAGCTGAGACTACTTCAGGCACAGGTTTGCTTGGTGCTTTCCTAGTTCTATTAAATTATTGGTATTATGATTTCTTAAAAACTGGCACCTCTCCTCCATAATGACGTTTTATAGAATTATAGAATGTCAGAATTAGAAAGGACCTTGGAAACTGAATTCTAGGCTCTCTTGTTTTACAGGTAAGTAAAATGAGGATTAGAGGGAATAATGTAACCCAATGCCACATTGCTAGTTAGTAGTAGAACCATCTTACGCATATCCTAACCTACAATAGAATTGTATTTTTCTTTTATTTTTTGCCTCTAATGAAAAGTCTCTTATAATTAAACCTTTATATACAGCTAAATATAAAGTCTGGACAGTGGCTTCTGCTTCATCTCTAGTTTGTCAACCCTATATAACTCTTAGCCAGTCTGCCCTTAAACAAATAGTTGGAACCTTTCTGTATATCTATACTGGACTTACTCTACTTCTTGTATTCTGAAACGTTCCCTTTCTTCAGAACCTCTCTTGCAGAGTTCTTAGTCTTTTTTTTTTTTTTTTTTTTTTTTTTTGATACATACTAATAATAATAATTGTATATGTTTATGGGGGTATATCCTAGAACTTTAGCTCAAGAATACTTGTACATTTCTGCCAGTTTTGTTCATCTTGTACTCAATCTGCAGCAGCTTTTTAGAGTTTTTTTTTTTTTTTTT